TTTGTCTAGTAGTTCCCATGGATTTTGCTTGTAAAGCAGGGAGAATGGCGCTAGGCTTGCTGCACCGTGACGTTACTGCTTGAAGATGGCAGGAGGGAGGGGTTACTATATTTGGGCACAAATGGCCGCTCTTAGAAGTGGCCATTGCTGACCAGACTTCTCCTTTAAAGGTGACGGAAGCAACAAAGAGAAGCAATCAGGTTTGGAATCTTCCTACAGGAATCCCGTTCACACATTGATGCCTGACTTAGGAAACCCTTCATGGATGGAACATCGTATCATGTGGGACATTGTCTGCAGCTTGTTGGCCCCCCAGGTTCCTCTCGTTTGTAGGGTAACCATCACTTTAAGAGATTCTCTGACTTTGCATGAGTTGAGGACTCAACATCGTAGAAGTCGTTGTTTTGCTGGATTGGAACAAGCAATGCGTGTTGAGAGGAGAGAAAATGAGTTATTTTCACCATAGCAGATACAGGAAGCATCACAGTGTCTGTCAAATGCAGGAACGTTTACAAGATGTTTCCCAATGAGTCTAAACTGTTATCATTTCTAGTAGAAAAAAATAAAAACTCTCATAAAGTGTTTTTACTGAGATCAATTTCCCTCTAAAGAAAAGCAAACACATCCCAGATTTGATGTCTTCCTTTACTTATCAGCTCAGGACACATTTCAAAGCTGTTACCAGGGATGTTTGTACACTTTCATTTCCATCTACAGTACAGAGAGACTATTAGAATGAATAAGCTGAGGGCGTCAGGAATTGGATAAAAGCCTGGCGCATAAATGAATACGGCTGTAAGCCTCCTGGCTGATCCTGCAGCTTTTATGGGGTCAGACTGAGGAGCAGACACAAAAGACTTCTTAAACATTTGGGGGAAAAAAGCAGCTCCGGCTCTCAGCCATCAGGATCATTCAGCATCTTGAAAGGTTAGATTCACGCATGAGTGTCTCAGAATGAAGAATATCCCCACGGTTTATTAAGATGAACGTGTGGCTATAAAACACGGCCCACTTCCACTAAGGCTGCTAATCTTTTTCTACCAATGACCTGTTAGATTGAGCTCATTTCAAATAATATCTATCAGGGCCGCTAGAAGTAAGTTTTTATCAGGGGGTGCTGTGAAAATTTTGTTTTGTTTTTTTAATATTTGACATAAGAGCTATGAGCCTATAGGACTATTTTTAGAATTCTATAATTAAAAATTAATAAATTGTTTGAGATTCACTACTTTATTGTCATATACATTTTAATCTACGCAACCAGAGTCTGTAACACACAGATATCATTAATCTCCTTAATCAGTTCTCAGGTGAATATATGTGCTATTAATAAAACTTCACAATGAAAAAAATTCCAGTGGCTTTATGCCAATTTGAAAAGCTGGCATTCAGTTAAATTTAATTTAGTTTATTTGTATAGTGTCATTTCACAACATGTCATCTCAGGTCACTTTATAGTTCACCAGATGATCCAGTCAAATTGATTCAAAGTTTTATATCTAAGGAAGACCAGTTGATTGCGTCGACTTATTGAATGCATGCTTGTAGCGACAGTGGAGAGAAAAAACTCCCTTTTAACAGGAAGAAACCTTCAGCAGAACCAGGTTCCGTGTGAGCTGCCATCTGCTGAGGCCGACTGGGGTTCAAGGAGACAGAAGCAGAGATACAAAAAGCAGCTGTAAAAGGCGGCCCCGTCCAGGAAACACACAGCCAGGCAGATGAACTCTGAGCCAGCTCCCATGTCAGAGGATGAAAGAGAGCACATCCAGCCAGTCATGGTCAGAGAAACAGGACTACACTGGAAAACATGCTGAACTCCAACATCTATAAACAAAGGTGTTGATTACAGCAGTACAGCTGATATTTCTCTCTAGGATGGAGTCACAGCCAAACAGGAACAGACCAGATGAAGCTGCTATGAGAAAAAGCAGAGAGAGCAGAAAGTTAGAGATTGAATTAATAGATTCTGCAAAGAGGGAGAATATAGATAGAATGGAGCAGAATGATGAAAAATGGATCCCTATGTCCTCCAGAAGTCTAAACCTATAGCAGCATAACTATAGAGATAGCTGAGGAACAGGAACAGACGAGGCAAAGCTACTATTCACAAAGGGGTTGTCTTGCTTAAATTTTTCTTTAAGTATGACCTTTTTTCCAACTGCTTTCAGACAGATGAAACACAAAATATAGTTCCTATAGTTGGAAGAAGACGCTCAGTCATTGGCCAGGTCATGTGACCTGGGAGAACGTATTGCATTATGGCCACAGGCTCTTATATCGTCAGGGAGGTAAGACTTTCGCTCTCTTATTTTTCCGCCTGCTCAACTTCTGGTCATGGCGGAGTTAAGGAAAATGTTTAGACCTTGTGAGGAGGCTAAAAAGAGAAAACCTAAAAGGGATAATGTGTGAGGAAAAACAAGAGTCCATCTTGGAAAGGAGTTGGTTTGTTTGCGCAGACGTAAAACTGATTCCCCTTTCTCAACTTATTAGACTGCTAAGTTCACACTTATATATCACACATATCTGTTATTATTTTTGGATGTTTAGTAGAAGCGTAATAAGGGCTTCTTAAAGTACTTTAAATATGAAATTATTACATACTGTTCAAGAAATGATATGTTTTAATTAAGAGTAATTTTCATTTGAATGTGCTTTACTGGAGGCATGCATGTTTGTCAAAGAACACTACTGCCACCTACTGGTTTGTGACGACACGGTGCGGTATCGGCTGTCGATCAAGTCCCAGTGCTGTATCTGGTGTTTGTCACAACGCGCTATTATCCAAGTCATCTTGGCGTGAGGTGTCACTATATTTGGGCAAAACTGGCCGCTCCAAGACTCAGTGATCGCGCCGAAAATTACTACATTTATTTTTTTCACTGATTAACGCTAAATTAATTAAATCCTTGCTAATGTATTAGTTTTAGGTGTAAATAATGATCATCCCTTGCTGACCTGACTTTTCCTATAAACAGTAACCAGTAGTCACCAAATGAGTGGGACTAATAGGTGCTCCACCTGAAGGCTTTCAATAAGAATAACACAGAATGAAACCAAAAATACGAAAACAGACGTCAGACAGAAAATCTCACAATGCCTCCAGAAAATAATCATAGCGAACGAGGAAACAGTGGAGATGCCGAGTGGAACAATGATGTCTGAGATAAACTGTAAAGTTGGGGGAAGACAGCAGTGGCTCCAACTGTTAACCTGGTCAGGTACTGTTTTTTTTTTTGTTTTTTTTCTCAGGTCCCAATTTCTGATTGCTTCCCATTATGTCGGAGCTCAGGGAACACCACACACACTCGGATATCTGCCCAAGATCACCCAACATGTCGCTGAATGGGGATGGGAGTGGTCCCAGTGTCCTTTAGAGCAGACCTGATGGCTCTTGGCACACATGGCAGGATATTCTCACCGGATTATCTGAGGACCCATCCCCATAATCTGGTTTAAAACTGGAGAGATTATCCTACTGTGTGAACCGGGCTTAAGTACCATCATTTGTCTCCATGTTAGGATGAAATCCGCCTAGCTGATTAACTCCAGTTTGATGTCTAGATAATATCCCAGTTACTAAAAAAAAACCCTCTCTGCCTAAAACTTTTTCATAACTCTTTTGTATGACCGTGAACAGTTGCCCTTAATCCCAGGTTGTTGTTTTTTGTATTTCTGGGTGCTTGTTTAATGAAGATGCCTGCAGATTTTCCACCTTGCCTTCAACCATCTGTTTCTGTTTGAGTCCATTTTAATCAAATAAAGCATGTTTAGTTCTTTTCTCATATATCCAGACTAATATATCTCTACTGCAACTGAAATAAATCGATTTGTTTTTAATATTCTACGATGAAGAAAATCCAAGTACATCTCTGATATCCTTCTGTCCTCTGGTGTTAGAAATAGAAAGAAGATGAAAGATGTTAAGTGTCACGTAACTGCACTTCTTGTGCCAAAGACTAACCATCTGCATTAGCATAAATTAGCCTGCAAACAGGACAGGACAGGGTGAGGAGAAGAACGTTCAACATGTCACGTTGAATAGAAGCAGTGTTTCTGACACAGAGAGCTGCAGTCTTCCTGATTTAAAGAAGACGCAATGACCCTCTTTAAACTTTGCGATGTTCAGCCTGAAGCGCTGCGTTTTCCTCAGGCGCAGCTCTTCAGAGGCGGAAGTGATGGGATCACTGCAACCAGTTAACATCAACCAACA